AGATAATGTAAATTACCAGGACACTTTTAATTCCATTACAGTGAGGACACAGGAAATGTGATCACAGCCAAGCCATAAGCTCAGCCGGGCATGGAGCTTGTTATCTTTATGAAGAACTATGATTCTCTATGTTATTTAACTTATTAACCAAAAAGGTGACTGTAAATGTACTTAACTCAGTAGTTTTCAAAGTGAAAACTTACATTGTGTTTATTTGCCAAACAGAGGAACACTATGCCTCAAAATCTCAGGAGTCGCTTTATGCAGACTTTCATCCTCTACATCCTACACAACACAGTTTGTCTTCTTGGTTGAATGTGATTTTTTTCTGGTTGGGAGAGTGTGAGGATTATAAGGGTAGGCGTGGAAATGTTCCCAAGACTTAAAGTACTACAAATGTTTTATTCACAATTAAAGCTAAAATTTAAAAATCCACTGAAATTAAATCAGAATGAGTAGAACATTTTATCAGGTTATATGGCCCAAATTTAAACTCTATTCAAGAACCACTTTGCTTGAGAAATAATAAAATTGATGGCTAAACAATCATTTATAGTGCCTACACCATGTACATGAAAAGCATTACTAAATATTAAGCACTATAATCAAACTTAGAGGTTGAATAAGCTTTTAGTAAATTTAAAGTGGGTAAAAATGAAATTCAATGGCAAACAGAATTCTCAGTGACCATTTACTTAACTTTAACACAGTATCACCCCTCTTTTCGAATTTTGGCATAAAACTAGTTTTATTTCATTGGCTTTACTCATTTAAATGGCACACATTTTTAACTCCCAAAATACTTATATAAATACTACCTAAAATAATACATAAAACCCAAACAGATCAACAACCTGAAAGTATTATTACCTAATATGCATTTACTGAATAGAATTCTTTATACATCTATTATGTATTTTTAACTTTTTCTTAGTTATTATTCCAACATGTTAATATAGAAACCATGCCGGGGTCAACAGATACCCAAAAGTGGCAATGAACAGGCCAGAACACATGGACGTAGCACTTCAGAATTTCTAATCCAATTCTTAATTTAAGTCAAATTCAGTTATTTCTCCCCTTTTTATTTCTAAAGTTAATATACTATGGTTAGAGTAATCAGTTGAATATCAAATCCAAGTGAGTAATAAAAACTCAGTCAAGTAGTATTAAGGCTAATGCAATTGAATTTATTTTTCATGTCTTAATATTGACCAGCTTTTGTAATTCTTGTATTTGTAATATTATAAAATATACCGTTGGCTGTCTCAAAGAATTTTATAAACTAATTAGTTCGACAACAGAGACTCAGGTAAGAGCTATACAGCGAAGTGGCGCTTTATTTCTGGCCACATATGTAAATTCTACATCAGCATTACTGTTAGTTTTAACCATTACTGTTTACTCTGACACCAATAAAATGGAATTGTTATATAGTAAGAAATATGGCAACTAAATACCCCTTCCCCACCCTCCAAAAAAGAACAATGTCATCACTTTAATTTCATTAAGAGTCACAAAATTTTTTATTTCGGAAAAATATTTCCTTCAATGTTTATTAGATAATGAATTTTATTTAAATGAATAATTTACTTTTACTTTTCTGTGTAGACCAATTAAAAAGTATGCCTCTTTCTGTTCATAAGCAAACTCTACTCATCTAATTCTGCATGGCAGATAAGAAATTAATACTCTACCTCCTTCTACCTTAAAAATTAGCTATGAAATCTTCCTCATTATGAATTAGTTATTTCTGTATGGACTGTTGTCATGCTGCTGTTAAAACAAAAAAGTTAGTAAAGGATATGGACACATGGGAAACAAATCATAAACCATAATACTAGTTTATAATGAAATATATTAAACATTGTTTAAATATTAAACAACAAAATATTCCTATATTAAATAAATAAGACTTGAATTTGTCATGTGGAACTATAGGCCAATACCACCGATAATGGGGATGGTCTAGTGCAAAAAGGTGGCCACAAAAAAAAAAAAAAGAAGAGAGAGAGAGAGAAGATGACACAACATTTAATACTGGTATTGTTTTCATAACAAATTTAACCAGTGAGTCTCAATCTTTTCTGAATATAAAATTACCTGAAGAACTTTTTAAAAAATACTGATGAACAGGTCTCATCCCAGACAAATTAAATGAGAAACAGGATTCAGGCAACAGAATTTTTTAAAGGTCCCCAGATGAGTGTAATGTACAGTTAGGGTGGAGAGCTGCTGACTGAAAACCACAAGCATCTCACTGTTCCCTGACTCAGCAAGGTGTCCAATGAATAAAAAAAAAGGGAGCTTTCTTTTACCGGTGGGGCAAGACAAAGGTGTCTCCAGTTACTTATGGGTAAGTTAAGTTTATTAATATCTACTTGATTTCCATTAAAATATCTGCATTGGACTCTTCATTCCCTATAATTCTGTATTTTTAAACTCCAAGACCAAGTAAAGTCAAAGAGTACTTTTTTGTAATAAATCAGTTACACTGAAAATCTATGATTCATGAACATAAATATTTACTGAATGCCTATTATGTGCAAGGCACTGTGCCAGGTGATGATACAGGACTTGGAGTCATGGGGGAATGAAGAGTGATTGTCTGAAAGTGTTTTATTTTTCCCTTAGAATTAATGGCTATAAAATGAATTACATGGACCTAAAGAAGGGAATGAACTTGGAAAAGAAAAAAAGACAAAGAAATTAAGTACATACCATGGGTCTGATTTTAAAATACATGAAACAGCATATCTGCACTTTTCCTAATGTTATTTCCAGAGCCTTTGAATACACGTAAGGCAAATTCAAGATAGAAAAATAAACCCTGTTAAAGTAGATGTTCCCAATTTTAACCACATTCTGTAAAAGTAAATTTAATACATAAGTATAAATACTAAAAATCTTTATAGAAAGGTAGTTCATGTCCACTTGTAGTAGTCTTAACAAGTAACCTTACATTAAAACATTACGGATCCTTCTCCTTGACCATTTCATCGTGGAGGAAGTCTATACAATACATAATTTACTTTGAAAACAGATTTATATGCTGAGAAATTCCAATGTGAACAAATTTGAGTTTTCTTTTATTTTCGAGAGGGTGCAGCAAAGGGAAGAAAGAGGGGGGCAGAATCTGTTCAAACCTTACAAATTTCCTAAAATCTAATCATTTAAAATGCTGACTGCTTTTTTCCTGAAGAACCTAGTGAATTCCATTATGAATAAATACTTTTTCTGTTCATTATTGGCATGGACTTTTGCGGTTACTTAAAAAATAAATAATAAGTGCTTCTCACTTTTTATGATAGCATTAAATTTCAAAATGAGGCTAGGAAATATCAGCTTAACATAAGAAGCAGCTAAATGTTTACCAAAAATATGTTAACCTAAGAGAGATCACTGTGGGGGAAATGACGTAAGATGAATGATCAGCAACAATTCTAATAGCAAAAACTCTTTAGGGGACTAAAGGTTCCAAGTTGCTCTTAAGAATAAAAGGTGGAATCAAGACTCAAGAAAAACGCTCATTCATTGTACCTTGGGTGCAACCCTCTGTCTTGAGTACAGAAGTAGGAAAATATTTTACTAAGTTAAAATATAGGTTTTATATTTTATACGATATTGAATACACACATAAAAATACCAGTGTTTTTATCTTGTTTCTGTTCAGACACTTAATTAAGCAAATGTGTTCTTTGGTGTCTGGGAGAGTTTATCAATATTTAAGGATAATGGAAGATAAGAACATGCCTAGAAAGAGAAGACTCAAAATCCTATACCATATAAAATAAGAATCAAGGGTGGACTTATGAGAAAAGATAAAGAAGTTAAAGTTACACTGCAGTAAGACTAATACATTTCTTTCCCCCAAATCATACTCTGGCTCCCAAAATAAAAAGTACTATAGCCTATTAGGTTTTTAATCTGTGTTTTGAGATTTTTCAAGTGGAAAGATATCACAGATAGAAATATATCATTCTAAGTTTTAAAATTACCAAAGTCAATGAGAAGAATGTACATTCATTAAATGTATTCATTGTAAGTAAGGAAGTAAGCTGAACAGTTCAACCAAAGCTGAAGCATTGTTCTTGATTTTTCATTATTCCTTTTTAAATAAAGAGAAAGTATAGATATAGTACACATACAGGTTGACGTTTTGAATCTTTCAAAATAGTCACATCCCTTTGCTTGGTTTTGGAAGTTCTAGAGACTAAAATTTGATATCATTTATAACATAGTATTTTCAATAAAAGGAATTCTAGAGCAATGAAAAATCAGAAGCAAGATGGCTTAGAGAGCCTTATAACCTCTAAATATACACACATTTGTAACCTGCATTTATTTTCTAAAGAAACAAATTTTTAAGTAATGCTAATTTAACCAATGGAGAAAAAACTTCTATCAAAATATACAATTTCCATTACAGACTAGAAGGCTAATATTAAAAAAATAGTTGTAAGCCAAAAAGTTTTGCTTATATGGATGATGGGCATCATCCCTTTGAAGCATAAATCATCAAATAAGGTTTTATAAAAGATCGATCTGTGACCTTCTTCATTTGTAAGTTCTTGATAAATTCATAAAGCTTGAGTCTATCTTTAGATCAAGGTATATCCATGCTTCTTAATCCAGATTTCCAGGAAAGGGAGAAATCAAGAAATTCAGAATCTCAAGTGGGATTTGTGCTTTACCATGTACCTGAAAAATAATATTATAATAGGTTAGAGTGATTATAGAAATTCTAGAATTTTTAGCATATTACATGTAAAAATACTGACATCTTTTAAAACTTAAAAACAACAGTGGAACAGGATTTTTTGCTTTCTAAAAAACGGATACTGTAACCTTTGGGAATATAAGGATTTCTGAAGTAAAATGGGAAAAACATTCCTCTTATTAAATTCTATAATCTAAGAGCTTCTGGCTAGAATAATAAATGTTTCCTTTTAATATACCATCAATAATCAGATCTGGGTTACCTCAATCACCTTACCCATAATGTTCAGTGAGAGATCAAAAAAGTTACAGATTTTAAAGAGCACCTCAAACGAGACCAGTAGATGCAGCGGTATTGTGATTATACGCTGTTCTTCTATTTCCAGTTACAAAAGTGGTATTATTGTAAAGGGCTTTAAGAACTCAATTTATACTAGTAATTAAGATAAATTCAAAAACTGAATTCCTTCCATTAGCTACCAGCTACCCATAACTCAGCTCCAGAGTCAGAGACCTTTCGGTGCTGGCAAAAAAAACAAAGGGATCATGTAACCCAAGTTACCTGGACAGAGAACAAGGTTCAGCAAAGTCACACAGCTCATCTGAGCCGGATCACAAAATCAAGACTAAAATCTAGGTCTTCCAACTCAGATTTAGTGTTCTTTCTACTAAGCTTATAAGCCCTTTCTCTGTTTCTGAAGTCAGTGTAATAAAGGTATTTGTTAATTATCTACTGTAGATCAACATCAAATGAGGCAATGTTCCAAAGGGTGAAATGGTTCACAACTTTAAGGAAACTAAAATCTAACTGAAGAGAAAAATTACTACAATAAGGCAGAAGTAAGTACATTTTAGGATCAAAATTACCTATCCAACGTTTCCCAGAATCGTAAGAAAACTGGTCTATCCAGATGACGTTTGTGATAGCTGAGTTCTAATACTGTTACATCCCATTTCTGAACATTTGGATCTAGACGAACTTCATCATATTTGAGATGGAAGGCTTTAACTATATGGGGGAGAAATAATCTTTTATATTCAAACTGTAATCAAAATTATAAAAATATTTTATAAAAGAATAAAAATAGCCAACACAGACATTAACCAAAGGAAAAAAAAGTCAATATTTCTTCCACCAACAGAAGCTGTATTATAAAGTAATCTCTGAAACAGATGCTAAGCACCGTGTTATCCTCAAAAACATTCAACAAAAAAGTATTGCATTTTTTGAAATGAAGAATAATAAGGTAAGATAAAATGCATATGATCCAGTGTAGGAGAACGGTAAGAAAAAAACTAGTCACATTCAATATGATAAAGGTGGTAAACAGAAACACAAGAAAGTGCCTTCCCCAGATCATGGAATTCAGAAAAGGCCTGGATAGGTAGAGTGGAGTAAGAATGGCTTAGTCTCGCAACTAAAGAAATTCAATGAAATTGCATCATGCAAAGTAACATGGGGACAGGCTAAGAGGTAAGACCATGGAGGTTCAGAGCAACACTGGCCTTGTAGGCCACATTAAAGAGTCTGGACGTTTATCTAAGAGACGTGGACAATCACTGCCAAGTGTTCAGCAGAGGCTAATGATACAATAGAGTAATCTATAGGAGAAAGAGAGTTTTGCTCAACTGCGGAGAAGATACACATATGACAAGATGGACTGAAGAGATAATTAGGGAATGAGAACTAATGGGACTTGGTAAGAAATGATGAAAAGGAAAAAAGAAAAACTGAAGGGTCTCTGGAGAAGGTTACAGGAAGCAGCTATTTACTGATCTAAAAAGAGTTTAGCAAAGATCTAGAAGAGGATTTCAGGCAGAGGGAAGAGCTGATACAAAAGCCCTGAGATGGAAGGGAAGTAAGCTTGGGACGCCCACAAACAAAAACGACTTTCTTGTAGGCAACATCCTGTAAGTAGAAGCTTTTCAGCTATGGTAAAAAAAAAATCTGAATTTTATTCCAAATGTGATAGTAAACCACTAGATAGTTTAGAACAAGAAAGTGAAAATTATCTGATTTTCATTTTCAAAGCATTTCAAAGTATCTCTGGGTGTGGGACAGATAAAAGACTCTAGGGCAAAGCTTCCCAACTGGTGTGTGTGCTGCAAAGTGTTAACAGGTGAACATAAAATACAGATTCTCAGTCTTTCTCCCTGATCATCCAGTTGGACCATCCTCACTAGTTTATTATTGTATCTGCAATCAGTTTATCATCAATGGAGCATTAGTTTTACACATGCATATGGAAGATGTTTACCTTTTCTTTCAACTTTTTACTTTTTTTAATATATAAAATATGATTATTACTATCACCATTATCATCCAATATTAGGTGTTTCTAAAGAGAAAATGACTCTTAATTTTTTTAAAGAGCTACTTTATAGACTACCTGTTCCATACTGCTTGCTGGCTTACTGGCTTTTGATGTTAACAATTAATCAAGGCCTAATTATTGATAGAAATCCAAAATAAACCATTTGTGCCCCTCAAAAAACACATAAACATTATTTTTAGGTGGGAGGGTATGGCTTAGTGGTAGATGGCATGCTTAGCATGCACAAGGTCCTGGGTTCAATCCCCAGCACCTCCATTAAAATAGATAAATAAATAACCCTAATTACCTCCCCCCACTAAAAAAAATTAAACAAAACAAAAACATCATTTCTAAATCATTTCCTTTTATAAATAAAGGTCTCCTTATTGAACATGTTATTCATTTTGAATTTAATCCAAATTAATGAATTTAAACCAATTCATTAAAGGGGCTATAAGTTACGGATTCAGAAAACCACCTTCAAAATATTTATTATTTATATGTAAAAAATTTTTTTAAGTTCCTTTAAATTAAATGAAGTCAAAATTTCAATGTTCTTTTCTGCTTACTATGTTTCTCTTTTCTAATTTTCTCAGTATGATTTTCTTTAAATCATTCTTATAAATACATGAGTTATTTTAAAATGATTTACCTAAAGCCATAAAGGCCTAGAGTCCTCCTTACTAATTTCAATAGACTTAGTTTCTATAGTATTTATTTTTCTAACAGAATATACAACTTTTTAACATAAAACCGAGATATCAGAATCCAAAAAGTTTAAGTCACAAATGAGGAAACATAAGGTTTCTCTCTTCACACAAAATATTTTATTAGCATGAAGCAATGGTGGCAGGCAAACTTTCACAAAGATGTTTCCATAAAACATCTTTCTTCCTCAGAAAAAGACTTAGCGTTTTTAAGCCTCCGCAAAAATAAAAGAAACAAAGATCTTTTATAAGAAGTCAGTTAACTGGGGGCACAATGAATACTGAAGTACAGAACTTCACACAATTCATAACTGTTCATTTTTTCCAAACTACATGAATGTTGTCAACACTTTTTGCAGGAACAAAGAAGCAAAAGAAATAGAAAAGGTGCTCTTGAATAACAGCCGGTGGAGGAGTGATGGCACGCCAGACACCAGAGGACAACATGACACAGAAGGTTAGTAAATAAAAAACTCCCTCAACGATAACTAAGCCATCATCAGTTAAAACTCCTGAAAAACAAATTTCAAGCATAAACAACAGTACTTTTAAAACGCTGTATCCAGTCACAAGCTAAAATTTCTCTTAATTTTGAAAAGATTTTATTTGGCAATTTTATACAATTCAGTATCTTAAGATCTTCTCTAAACCTTTGAATGTTATTATTATGCAATATGAAGAAAATAAAATTTTTTACTAAGTACCCCCAGTTCCCCCCTTTTGCTAGATAGGTTTTTATCATTTTCTATGTGTGTTGTGAGGAAAAGGTGGGAAGCTGGAAGAGGCAAGAAGACCAACTAAAAGGTGAGAGAAAACATATTTCTGGCTTAAGCAAATTGCTAAAAAAAACCAAAACAACTAACTAAGGAAAAGAAACAGTCCAGGGATGATGGAGAGAGGATAACAGACCCGTTGGAACAGGCTGAATCCGAGGCACCAACAGCACCTCCTGGAGGAAATACCTGGTACCAGCGAGACAGCCAGACCCAGAACATCAAGCTAGAGACGTAACGTGTAGAATAAGAGGATATAGGTGGCAGTAACTGCGAGCTATCCGATCTCCCTGAGAGATTTTTTGTAATTAAAGGAGAAGAGAAATGGGGACACAAACATGCAGTTAAAAGCCAGAGAAAGAGCAGCCAGAGAGTCTGAGAAAACGTAACAAGTTCTTGGAAAAGAACATTTAAAGGAGGAGGAAATGTGTCCAGAGACTACAGTTCTGATAAGGAGATCAGAAGTATCCAACATTTGGGTCACTGGTGAGTCTGGTGGGAGCAGTTTAGTGGGAGAGCAAGACTACAGTGGATTGAGCGTCAAACCGAAAGTGAGTGGAGACAATTCTCTCAAAAGCTTCGCTGGAAAAGGAGAGGGAGCAAGAAGAAAAGGTGAGGTCAAGAGGAAAGGATTTTGTTACATTTGTTTTAAGACGTAAGGGGCGAGAACACTTTCATTGCCAATGCTGATAATTAAGAAGGTTGAAGAGAAAGAGATTAATTCATGGAAGAAAATCGTAAGTTATAATTTTTTTAAAAAATCTCTAAGTTCCTATCTAAATTTCAGAAGACTTAAAGATCTGGACAAAACAATTAAAACACTATGGTCTTAATGAAATTTAGAGAGCATTTATATCTTGAAGACATTCTGGTCATTTTTTAATTACAGTACTACTCAACAAGGCAAACACAGAGGTAAAACACAACAATTAGTGTTCACTGACATTTTACTTTCATTAAAATTCCCATTCTCTCTACATCTTTGACTTCTATTTATCAAATCTGTGCATTACTCAGGTTTTAGAAATAACATAAAAAGTTATCATAATATTAGAATTCATTTTAAAAACTAGTGAAGGTAGGAGAATAAATGATTAAGCTTTCAAGTTTGGGTAGTTCCAGTCTGGAAGGATAGTGGTACCACTAACAAAAACTAAAACTGCTTTAAGGAAAAAGAAAAGCTGGATTTCACAGTAGCACAATCTACATTTATAATTAACTAAAGTTGTTATTTCTAACAAACAAACTTGTTTTATGAGAATGCGTTTTAAAAAGTAATTTTACTAATGTTACTAGCTTAAATGGGCGCTCAAATAATAATCAGAATATCCCTACCAGCAAAAAGACAAGCTTAAATCCATCTACTCTTGGTGCATCAATACACACCAAACACAGTCAATAAAACATCTAAGACACGTGAAATCCACTCATTTAACAGGCAGCCTACTGCACGCTTCCCCGGGCCGTGCGCTCTTCTGTGCCCACAATACAAGAGTGAACAAGGCAGGCAAGGCTACTCCCATCCTGGAACTGGCGCTCCAGCCAGGGAAGACTTACAAGATGGATATAAAAATAAGATAATGCCAAGCAACAGTGTCACAATGAGAGTAACTGGGAGGAAGTAATGGCTGCTTCCAGGATGGTAGGAGAAGGGTTCCCTAAAGGAGAGAACACTTGGCTGAGACCGGAATGAACGGAAGTCAGTCATGCTACAACCATCCCAGACAATGGGGCAGGCTGGCCAAAGTCAAACGGCACTTTAAGTTATAGCTACACATTACTATTCAGCTAAAAAAACATTTAAAAACTGGCTATCAATTTTGATAAAAATGTATGGACATGCAACAATATTAACGATTTTTTAAGCAAACCAGAAAGTAATTATTAATGTTGGAGGGTAGGTAATAATCCACTTCTAGATAGAAGTACACAGAAAATATTAATGTTCTCAAAAAGGCCTTAAAATATTTCACAGGTGCTTAAAAATTAACATTATAATGTTACTTAATAGGAATCCTTTGATGTACACATCAGATATGCACAGCCAGAGATGACTCTCCTAAAGCAAGAGCATTTCTCTACTGGTTAAGCAGCAAAAATAAAGAGTCTTACTTTTAGCAAATATGTCAACCGGTGATCCATCAGGCAAAAGCCACGGCCAACCTTTGAACTGCCACGCAGGCCCCTGCACAAAAACTGCTACGACCCGGTCCCTGCAGGAGAAAAGAGGGAGAGGAAAGTGGAGACTGAGCATCTCAGGCAGCCCTGGGTGCTGTAATCCTTACAGAAAGAGTCTCACAATACGGCCTCCTGTCAACACTGCCGTGAGGCAAACAGAGCACCATGTGGCCACAACCTTGCAGTATAAGGTAAGCACTCAGCACATTAATGCGTGCTGTACTTCCCGCACAGCTGTTTACACGCACAGTCCTCACATGTGATCCTTTTAGCCTTTTATCCTGCTCCTTCTATTAAATTAGAGCAAGGGCTCATTCTCTCAATGCATTAGGAAACAGTAGTTTATCTGTTAATTGAAAATGTTGCTTTTAAAAGAAAATCATTTAAAATTCAAACGCATCTTAAATATTTCACTTTAATTAAACATATTATAAGTTATAATAATTCACTAACCATTTTATAAAGCTCCAAGGCCTTATTTTTGAGTGCTTCTGATTATTTGGAAAATAATCTGCATACAGAAACCACCTAAACTTTTTAAGTTTTTTAATTGCTTTATAACTGTTTCACTCACTTTAAATTCTCTAAGTTTTTTCTAAAGCAACTTGTTTTCCTCAACCTCTCAACTTCATTTTCCTAAAAAGAACAAATCTCTTTCTAGGCTCTCCTATTTCACTAGTTTACAAAATATTTAATTAAATTGAGAAGTTACAGTAAGTACAACTGCCAGAACAGTTTAAGCCCACAACTAGAGAGGTGGGAACAAATCCGTAAGATCACAGTAACAGCTCACAGCAGCAGGACTTACTATGAGCATTTACTCTGTGTCAGCGCTGGTCTGAGAACTTTACACATTATGTTAACACATTTGCTCTTCAGAACAGTCCAATAAGGTAAATTATTATTATGCCTATTTTACAGATAAGGAAACAGAAATGCATGGGCATACTGGAGAAAAGTCCATCAGCCAGAAGGAGGGAGAGGGGGAGGGACAGGGGGAGTGTGAACAGAGGAGACGGGGAGATAGGGAGGGAAATAAATGACTGACCTTGTGCACTGGTCATGCTACTGCCCTGTGTGGGGACTGACAAATCATGAGAATAGCCAAAACAGTATTATAATGAAAATAGTTTAGACCTTACAACTCCGCAAAAGGGTCCTGGGAATGCCCAGAGGTCCACGGACTGTACTCTGATAACCACTGAATTCAATGAAGACTACACATCCAACAAAACATTAAGCCAAGGTTACCTTATATTCAAGTTAAAGACCTACAGCGAAGATCAAAGTTACGGTGAAAAACCACAGCTTAAAATTCTTAACCTGCTCACAATCTCTAAGGCTAAAATTAAATCTTAAATTAAAAAATGTCCTCCTTTCATGGGATATATGCTCCACAATGTCAAAACCATCTTTGGTAACAGAGCACACTATTAAAGGGTCTCTTAATTTTACGATGTAACCTGCACCACACAACAGGTGAAGGCCAAGGTGCCTGCCAAGCAGAAGAGAACTTGCTAGGAAGAGGTCACCTCGATCCTACTGCATCTCACGGGTTAGCAGGGGAGCAGGAAGATACAGATACTACTGCCAGTGAATTCCCGAAGGGACAAGTAACAGAGAAGAGAAGAGAAGAAGAAGGGTGAGGACAACATCATCCCAGGTTATGACGCTGATGGCCAGGGACCAAGCTAATACACACACGCAGTGTAAGACAGCACAGGGGTGGCACCTGCATGCACTGTGTGTGTTAGCACTTTCTGCAAATAACTGCAAGCATATAAATGATGTAACTTTCTACCTCCTGCAAGTGTTAAACTTGATACCTGAAATTCTCATCTTACACTTCATCTGTCACTCCACGTATCTCTGTTGGGTACTAGGGGAGAACTCTAATACAACCCTTCATACCTCAGTAAATTTTTAACATACTAACATTGACTTCTAATACCTGAAGACCAAACTGTACCTCGAAGGTAAACTTCAGCTAACACGTCAGTGTGTTGCAGTTTCTATGTCAGAGATACACACTCAAGAGTCCATTTTTATTCTGGCTTAGATTGATAAAATAATTTAAGATAATTCATGTATCTGAACTTACAGGCACTTTATAATACAAATAGCTTAATATTTTGTTAAAGGACATTTTAATACAATAAAAGAGCTGAACCAGGGTGATCATGCTATTATTTTCATTATATTGTTCCCTAGGAACAAACAGTGCTTTCACTTACCATTTCTTACCAGAAAATCTGAATTCTCCAAATCAAAAACCTAAAATACAGGCCCTCTAAAACAACACCGGTCTATATAAAAGTTTTGTTCTAAAACCTGATCCAGAATAAATGCACAAGTGGAAAGAATTTTTATTAAGTTTTCCAGAAGTTTGTGTTTCTTCTTATAAGTAAAATAAAGTTTAGACATCCAAAATATATTTACTTAGGTATTAATAGAATGTTAACATTATTGAGGACCAAATTGGACACTGACACAGGTTTCAAGGATAGGATCTAGTCAGTATTCATGATAAAATATGATACTTGTTCATTATACAAGAATTAATGACTATGTAAAAAATACAGATTAACTTACCAGTCTTGCGGCATTAGTTTAAGGGGCTGGTCTACTACTCTGTAAGGAACCGTGACACTAATTGCAGTGCCCCCTGGTTGCATCTGGTCTTTCCTTCTCTGTATGAGAGTTTCATTTTCTCGTTGGCAGCCTTGTTTCTTCTTTTCATCTGATGGGACAAATCTTTAAAAAAAAAAAAAAAGATGAGAAAAGGTCAAATGATTCCATGGAAATCATTTAACGAGAAAAGAAATTATATTTTGAAATTATTTTTTTTAATAATGATAGTTTCAAACCAAACACATTATTTTAAGAATAAGTCTGCTCAGCATGTACAGATCATAATGCTTAAAGGATATGGGTCTTTTCTTAGCATGCCAGATAGAACTTCAGCTCATTTAGGCCAGAAGTCGGGTGTGTGTGTGTGTGTGTGTGTGTGTGTGTGTGTGTGAAGCTGATGTGGCTAGCTAGGTGACTCAGTCTACCCAGGAGCATTACAAAACACCCCCTTCCACATTTGAAGTACCACTCCCATCAAGATACAGAGCATCTGCAACAAACCGGACAAGTTCCTCAAGCACCTTTCAGTAACCCCCTTCCTCCCTCCCCCACTCCCATCAAGATACAGAGCATCTGCAACAAACCGGACAAGTTCCTCAAGCACCTTTCAGTAACCCCCTTCCTCCCTCCCCCAATAGCAACCAGGAAATTCCGCTCCCCACCACCGTGGATGAGCCCTGCCTGTTCTAGTAATTCACACAAGCGGAATCGTACAGGACTGTACTCTTCTGTGCCTGGCTTCTTTCATTCAGTTTAACGTTTCTGATATTCATCCATGCTGTGTGGCATATTGGTAGTTCATTCATTTTTACTGCTGAGTAAAATCCTATTGTATGAATATGCCACAATTTGTTTATATATTCTTCTGTAATGGATATTTGGGTGTTTCCAAAATTGGAGCTATTACAAATAAAGCTACTATAAACATTCTGGTGTTAAGTCTTTTTGTGGGCATATGTTTTCACTTCTCTTATATAAATACCTATGAGTGGAACTGTTGGATCACAGGGTATGTTTAACTTTAAAAGAAACTGTCAGAAAGTTTTGCAAAGTGGGATAAAGTATAAAGAACATCTTAAAGGCATCTCTGGCTAGCTAGCAAGTAAAGAATTCTTGGGTCAAAGACTGAGTAAAGAAGGGAAGTCAAAAAGGTTAGAATAACACTGTAGACTTCTATCCACGGAAGGCACTGGCAAACTGACTGAACTTGAGCTTTGTCTTTTACTGTATCTCACTAGACTTTCGGAAGAGGAGACAAAGCCCATATTCTGCCCAAGGTAGAGAATCTAACAGAAGTCCCTTCTTTCATACAGCTAGGACTCTGAGGGTTAAGTTCAGTATAACGTAAACTAGAAATAAACCCACTGCCCACCCATTTTCCTGCCCTCTCCTCAGCCCTAACCAACACCCTGGCAATTACAATCTCAGAATTGTAAACCGGACCTCACTTGGATTTAAAGCAACAATTAACAACACTGACCACAGTGACTGGTTTGGAAATAAACATGTTAATGAAGCCAGGCCAGTAAGACTTGATCGTAGGATTTTTGTTGGAATTATTGGGAAAAGGGCACTGTCTCTCCACTGTGATTAGTAACCTAAAGTTTCTGATAGCCACCTTTGGCCCTGAAAGGGGAGAACCTCCCTGAGAGATGGAGAGACCAACTCCTCATTACATCATTTAGCACCGAGTTCAACTGAGTCAGAAGCCAGGACTTCTCAGTTACATTGAACCAATAAACTACTTTTTGATAAAGTTACCTGAGTTGGTTTTTAATACTTATAACTATAGTGCTCTAATGAATACAACCAGAATTGCACAACTTACATGGTGGATGGATATCTGTGATTTAGAGAAATATTCTGGTATCCATTGACTCATCCAATATTTGCAATTTATTTATTCCACTTTATATTCCATAAGTATGAAGGAATGTGGGTGATATGATTAAAGTCATTATTGTTTAAACAAGGATATCTTTACTAAAATAATTTTATTAGTATAAAATGCAAATGAGATGCTAGAGCTAAGTAAGTTCCAGATTTATGTTACTATGAAAACAACAATTTTATGGATATTTCCTAGATTAAAAATATAGTTTTCCTTTTTCCTAAATAAAAGAAGTTGGAAAAGGAAAGGAAAAGGAAACAAAAAAAGAGAAGAATTAACAGTCATATTTGATATTTACTTATAGAAGGGCTAGAAAATTGAAGAATCCTTAGCTTTACACGAACCAAACAGAATCTATGCCAACATGAACTATGGGCTACCGCCAGTACTATAATTGTGTGGAGGAGGTTTCAATTATGCATTAATTACATAGCAAAGCCTCCAGCTGACTCAAACTGTAGGGGAGATGTCAGCTGCAATGAGGTGTTAAACAATGAAGGGAGTGTTTTAAACTTAAAAGAAAAATTAGGCATGCTCTATCCAAAGAATGTAGTCTGTTAAACTGGCTTCTCTGTAGTAAGGCTAAGAAGAAAGATGCTAAAATTTAGTTGGTGATTTCTATGTACTATTTACTATCTTCATTATAAAGTAGTATTTTATATTATTACCAAATCTATTCTAAGAGGTGGGCAAAAACAATTCTATTTCATATTTATCCTATCGTAGATTACTTGAAGAACTGTAGATTACTTGAGTAATCCACATCACTATCAGAATACTAAACTTCACTATAAAAGCCTAATAAAACACAAAAATATGAAACATAAAAATTCCTTCTTTCCCACAGGAAAAGGTTCACTGAGAATTTCACTCAAAAGTACTAAAGAAAAAATACTATATGGATGTGCCTGTATGTGCCAGTTACATAGGTCTTCATAAAGCTACTTAAGTCACAGGCACTTAAAATTCAATTCTGCATTTGGTAAAACCCGGAATCAGCAAGTATTAGAACTTATCTTGCTACTTATTCTCACTCAGTCTAAGTTGTGTAGAAGCAGTACCATCTTCTCTTTGGAGCTAAAGCTATTTTTGTTTCCTTTTTAAGAGCTGCCATCGTTATTTTATCCAAAAAATTAAGCACCTGGAAACTTGAGCGTGGGATACAGCTTTCATTTTCATGCTTTCAACTAACTTCTACTAATGTCTAGGTTAAAAACCTACGGTCCTTCCTCCTTCCCCTGGGGTGTCTAATAAGCAGAAGTTCGTACCACTTTTGCTGTTTTTCAACTGAAACTTGGAAGTGGGGAGAAGACAACAATCTGAAACTCCCTTCAAGCTCTTCAGACAAAGCAAAACAATTCATATTAAAAATTAATATAGTAAGAGTTGAGCCAGCGTCACTATAATTTTTTCTAAAAGATTCAGGTAGAAAAGAATATATGTTTTAAAAATTATATAAATGACCTATAAAGCCTACAGTACTAAAACTGAAATTTTTTTTTCTCAGAAGAAGAAAACTGAATTACTAATTCTCAGCATTTCTATGTGCTATGAAACAAAGTTTAACAAATTACTTACTTCAGGTCCTGTAGAAGGTCCTTTGCATTAAGCATGGTTATTAAAGAGGTGGTAGCTGCAGGGATTATGATAATGGGTGTTCGAGATCCTGTAAAGAAAAAATGTTAAAGGTAGCAAATATGTTATTAAAAGGAGTTATTTTCCCAATTAAAACTTAAATTTTTGTTTGTAAATGTCATTTTAACTCTTTTGAGCTAAAACATAGTTTAAGTCAGCAGTGATATTCAGAATACTTAGTAATCAGGATGACTTGAGTGCTGACTAATTAGAATAGATACCAAGCACAAACGTTTGATCCAATGGCTTGAGCATACTCTCAGCCTTGGTTCTGTAATCGAGCTTGCCCACATTTACTTCTGGAAGTAAGTTCAGGGTCATATGCACAACCTTACCTTTCTTCTGATTTGGGGGAGGTCTGGCTTGAGAAACTGTAAGAAAGAGAAAAATTCAAAAGTTTGAGTGTTATAAAAATCACATTCTTATTTTCAAACTTACAAAGTAAATAAGGCCTAAAAAATCTGTATTTACATATGACTAGTCATAAAATTTCAAAATATATTTCAATCTTCCTAAATAATATTGTCACTTCCCTGTTTCACAAAACCATTAAAATGCCTTCGCATTATTCAACCATCAGTGGTCTCAAGGAGAGTGGATAAACAGCATTGCTAGGACTGAGTGTCTCGTTCATGGATGCTAGGGTCTAGAATAGGAAGCAAATAAGTAATTTCTGAATTAACTGATTCCACTGTAACAAATGCAAAAACAGAGTACTATAAGAGCATATAACATTGGGAGAAGGGCTAGGGAAGCAAATTAACTATTTTGGAGGAAAAAGAATGGAATTATTGGGGACTAAGATCTAAAATGTTTACCTTTCTCTCTCTTTTAAAAATTTTTTTTTTTGGTTTTATTATTAGCAGAAGAAAACATCATAGGCAATGAGTCATGAGAAGGTCCTTATTCCGGCCCAGATTATCTGTAATTCTGAATGTATGTTATATAAACATGAATATGCAAATCTTTTCATTATTTATTTGTTGGCATAATAATCATAACATTAGCCTAGTTCAAGATTAATATTAATCTTAGGATAGAAAGTGTTGTCTGTTCAATTTTCAGTATTTATTCATACAATAAATTTTTACTGACTGCCTTTATGTGCCACATGCTGTGCTAGAATTTTTTTTAAATCACAAAAAATAAAATTCAACAACTTAAAATTCGAATTCAACATCAGTTCTTACAGATACCACTTTCAAAAGGAAGTACACACATCTTTGGAATATATTCCATTTCAAAAGCAGTAAGATGCTGTATTTTGACTAATACTTTGTACTCCTTTGTACAGCTATTTCACTGTGATAAAATATGATGGAGTCCAGTAGTATTTTTCTAGCCACAGAAAGCAGAGAAAGATAAATACAAATACAAGTTCACATACATTTATTACAGTGTTCTAATCTTTCTTCTTGCTGAGGAAAAAAATACTAAAACTTCTTTAAATTATTTTTAGAAACAGGACTCATGGAGACGTCTGACGTGTGGACATGGGTACAGCTAGACAATGCCATCTGAAATATAATACAATATCAATATCTGGAACTTCTTGAGGGGTAAAGGAATGGCAGGATGGATAGATACATGGATAAACGGGATAGGAGTTGCTACAAGAATGATTAAGGAGAACAACACATCATCTTTGGCTGAAATACCACTGATTTGCGAAGGGAGTCCACAATGAACTCTGGAATGTAGGAAAAGATTCACTAAAATCAAGGCTGAGAAGACCTAATAAGAAAAAGACAAAATATAAAACCTCACATACTAAAAATAAAGTTTAGGTGTTTAGTAAAAAATAACTACAACTAAGGATCATGGCAGGGACACTATGATGAACACGCTAAGGATAAGCCTGATTCAAGGGTGGGAGGAGGGAAGAGCAGAGTCCACACGGAGAGTGATTGAGAGCACGAGTCTGTGCTCAGAGGATCTCATTCTGCCCCCACTTGTCACTTCCTAGGCAGATCGCCCCACAAGTTGAAATGAATGCCTGCTCAGCTTCAGTTGTCCTCAACTATAAAATAGAGATAACAGTTTCTACATCTCAATGCTGTTGTAAGAATCTTAGAATCAAGGCAAGTTAAGTCCTCAGCCAGGTCTTAGCGCGTGTTTACCACTCACTGAACCTTGTGGTACAGCTGGTGCTAACAGCTTCCAGCACTACTAACACTGCCGCGCCATCCCCCAAACGCAATGACTGGCCTTTTACAAGCTGAGAATAAGCAATTATAGTTGCTAAGCTCGATTTCAAATATAATTATATTCTTTACTTAAATATTTACTCAGAGCCTATGTACAAGGCACTCTGCTAGGCTCTTATTTTTATAATGATAAATAAACAGAAATAATCCTGCCCTCAAAGACCTTTCAATAAAGTAGGGGAGCCAGACCATAACATATAGGCAAACTAACACATATAAACAAATTTGAATATGTAACATTAAGGAAAAGAATGTACACTGATATTAAAGTGTCCTTTAGATAGATGCTTAGAAAAAGTCTCTGAAAGGAAATGGCATTTAAGCTGAGATATGAAGGATGAAAAGGAGCCAACTTGCAAAGAACAAGTGAAAGAACAGCCCAGATAAGAGGGAGGAATGTGGGCAGGTGCCAACGGCAGGAAGAAACACGTGCTTGCAGAACTGCAAATGTGCAGACAGATCATGGAGACAAAAGGATGAGTGGCAGGAGATGAGGTTAAAAATATACATAGGAGCCAGTTTACGTAGGGCTTTCTAGGTAACGTTAAGTTTGTATTTAAGTGCTGCTGGAAAACTCTAAAACTTTAAAGCCAGAAGTGACATAATTTGATTCTCATGTCACCCCTTCTGTAAGGGAGGAACAATGAACTCAGATAAGGGATGAAAAGGGGGACGAGAGTGAAAGCAGGAGGCTCCATGAGGACTATTACCAGCAGTCTACAGTGCTGCTATTCAAATTACATGTGGTTAAGGACAAGGTTATTTCTTCTGGTAAACTTTCCAAAGCCAACTGAATAAAATGCAATACAGGGAACTGCTGGAAAACTGGTCCTGTACCTGGATGCTGTGACACTACTGTACTCTCGATTTCTCTATGTGTCTTGTAGGGACCAGAAATAAACAGGCCATGGACTAGTACTGTAAGATGCTCTGGTCTTGAGAAACGGTGGTGGTTTCAGCTTGAGCTGTGGTAGTGGAGATAGACAGAAAATGGATAAATGTGAAACACAGAAAAGGTAAACTTAACAGAATTCCCTGACATATTAGACAAGAGGAATGAGCAAATGTGAAGGATGAATAACTCTTAAGTTTTCGACTTAAAAAGCAGAGTTGATGACGGCGTGAAGAAACGGAAGACTGTGGAGTAAGACATCTTGGGAAAAATACCAGAGAACAGAAGTTTTAAATCAGTTTTAAGATGTCTATGGTACATCCAAACGTTAAGCAGACAGTTACTATAAGATACCAGAGGTAAGAAGAAACGTCTGAACTGGAGACACAAATTTGAAAATCATCAGCACATAGATTTAAAACCATGGGATGAAGTAATCCAACCAACACCTCAGTTATAAAGTGGACTGGAACGGCGTAAGGAATCTGGTTAGAACATACAGAGGGCTAACTCCCCCAGTCTCACATGAGCAGTAATCAGGTAACCAGAGTTACAGTTATGGGTAGTCACCTACTCATTTCAGAAGATCTATGAAACAGAAGCAAAGAGTGAAAGCTGGAGAAGTGAAGTATGCATTGTGTATGCATTAGAAAGAGGTGGGGAGAGAAGGAACATGCACAAGAGATTTAAGGATGTAAGTTCCAGGACTGTAGTTTATCAAAGGGCTGTGCCTCATAATTCACTGGAAAATACGTGCCTCTTGTTAGTTATATTCTCTAAATGAATGTTTAGAAGTTGGGAATAATTGTTAACACTTTAAAATATTAAATTTATCTAGGGACTTGCCTGGCACATTTAGTGCTAAATAAATATTTGATGAAAGAATGAATAAAAAAGAAAAAATGATCAAAAATGGAACACCATCCTTGAGTTCCTACTGCAGGAAAAAAGAATAGGTGGTTCAGTCCCCTATTTCCAAATAATTCAAACTCTACCTCACAACAGCATAGATCCATGCTGTCTCATCTATAACATGTTACACTGCCAGATATGTTTTGTGTGTTCACTTTTTTCTATTTTAAAAAAACAATCCAAGTGAACATGCCACATATTATATAATATCCCTCCAAAGCTGAGCAGCACCCAATAAGCAAATACATTTAACATTTCTGCAAAACCGAAGTTCACTCACTAATCAAGACAAATAAAGATGACAAGCTGCTAACAGCCACTCAAGTCAGGTCTTATTGACAAATGAGTACTAAAAACTTACAATCTTTGCTTTTGGAATGGTGGGCTGGGACCGTGGACCTGTCAAAGTCGATTAGCAGGTGAAAGAAGAGGAGATCTCACATGGATAGGCATCAGAACATCTGTTACACTATGAGACGTTTGCTAAGATTACTCTCTATCATTTTAACTGCCGGTGCACCGGGGTAGAACAGCTGAGAAAGGATGTTAGGACGTTAAGAGCTGAAGAGACCCCAAGCTCCTTACTTCACATGTGACCTTCCCTGGCAGCACGTAACCGGCTGTAGAACTCGGCCCTCTTCCTCCGCTTCACCACACGGCCTGTCTGAACAACCTGGTTTACTCAGGTGTTAGTGCCCCCCCTACTGCCTTCCTTTGTTTGCCAAATGATTTTGAGAAATTGTGAAATGGAGACAATTACTTACTACACAAAACGGAGTCAGAATCCTCAGTGGTGATTTCTTCTTTTTTTATACTGTTTCTGAATTTCTCATGTGATCTCCTTTAGACTGACCAACTATACCCTGCCTGCCATCCCTCCCTGTTCTAGAGAAAACAAAATCCTGTGTCTGTCATTCAATTGCCTCCACAATATTCCTCTCCTTTGTAGGCTGTATTCTTTGGGTCCAACTCAGTCTGCCAACTCCTATTTCCTTCACTTTTTTACTTTCTTCCTGAAAAGAGTTCCTTTAGCTTCTCCTAGTCTCTGGCACTGAATACATGGAAGACATTCAAATAATATTTACTGAATTTAATTGCTCTTGCTTATACTCTCATAATGGCTTTTGGTATGGTCCTCCCTACTAAAAAAAAAATAGTTTCATGGTCCTGTCATCTGAAATAAATTATATCCAAGGTGTTCCAAATTTTTTAAAATGTCAAAAAAAAAAAAAACCAAAAACAAAAACACACCACTGTCATTAAAAAAAAAAAAAAAAGTAAATACTAGTCCTGTCAAGATCCAGGACATAGTGAAATAGCCTACAATATCATCCCAACATAACCCTCTTAATATCATACTTTTAAAGTGCTTCCAGAAATATTTAATACTTAGAATCTACATAATTTTAGAATTAGCCTATGTGTGAACATACTACGAGTAAAAAGATAACCAAGTCTCCACTATTGATATTAACAAAGTGAAAAGGAAGAGCACCCAGTTAAATTCCCGCCTGTGTCTTTCCAACTGTTTTCATTTTCTTCATAGCCACTTTCAACAGCATCGATACTATGTTAAATGCCAAAATAAAACAAATACCAAAATCAAACCCAAAACACCTAAAATGAATACAGCATTGGTATCTACATGCATTTATACAGAGCAATCTTCTCTAGGTACTAAGAAGAGGAAAGAAAAATATTTCTAAAATAATTTCAATATTACCTTTGCTTATTAACACATATATTTTAAAAAATGATTACAGAAACTTATATGCTCAGTAACACAGATATCTGAAATTCTAAACATCAAAGCTGCTTATCAGTCTATTAAAATCATGGTTCTCTGCTTCTACAGGAAAAAACAAAAATCACATCCACGTGTGCTACCATGGAATTCAAACAAGATACTGATGCGGGAATAGGTACGTAATAAATAGCTTTTTATGTTTTTCTAAAATCTAAAAACATTTTCTTAAAAACATTCTTTAACTCTTTAACTATACCTATTTACTCAAGTAAATGTTCTTATAATATTAGTTTTGAAGTATTTTAAGTAAGATTTCAATTACTCCAAAGCATTATACGTATCAAAAAGTTTCACTGTTGTGATTACTATAGGAAAAAAAAAAAAAAGAACAAAAAGTTTTATATTTTCACCTGGTCTTGGTACTGGTTGTGCTGCAGGAGTCTGTGTCTTACGGGCTGACGCACCTTCCTTTAAAAGAATAAAAATTGTTATGTCAACATTCCTTTGCACAACAAACACTTTCACTTAATTACTGCAAAGAAATCTATCTCTTTGTCTCTCCCATCAGTCACTCCACTGAACATGCTATGCTCCTAAGAGTTCTTGAAAAATTTTTTTAAAACTCCCTTTACCTTGCTACTGGTTGTGAGGTAGTAAGAGAAATCTTTAGTGGAAAATATTCTTAAATTGTTAAAATATACATAAATTGTTACCATTTAGTAGTTATTATAAATATGTAATATTTTTCACGTGTTCAATGATTTGCTTAATTGCTGACAATTTTAATATTCTCAGAAATAGCATTAACAGTTTAAAATCAAGTCAATCTTTTTTCCCCTTGAAGAGTCTCAAAATGAATAAATGATATATAATCTCACATTAGAAAGATGTAAAGTATTACTTTCAGTGCATTAAAAAAACACAAATATTTCAAATTAAATGCCCTTAAAATATTCAGGGGAAATAATCATATTTATAAAGATGAGATCTGTTACATTTAAGAGTGGTTGAAAATATCTTAAAAACTGAATAGCAAATCTCAACTAATTACTAAGCATGTAATACATACAACGAGATACGCTAAGTATTGGAGTACACCAATTATATACTCAAGAAGAGATGCCTCTGAAATGCTTAAGATACTTCAAAAGTTGTCTTTAGCACAACAGTTTCAATCATATTCACTCAATCTCTCATTAAAACATTTTTCTTTATACAAGTGTAAATTTCAAAACAACTACTAACTCTTGGGAGACTTTACTCTAGCTGTACTTGAGAGCAGGAAATCTGACAAATATCAGGGAAGGTACATAAGTCCACAGTAACAAAAATCACTACTACAACCACAGAAACATTTCTAAAATTAATATTTAGCAGGATTTCTTTCATCATATTACATTTTCTTCAAAATTTGAGATTTTACATGGTAAAACCATTTGGAATGGTAAGCTATCCCACAGCATCTTTTTGTTTTTAATGATTATAAAAATTAGTACCAACAGAGAGAATGTATTTCACTTTCAGCACAGCGATATTCCTGACATTCAGTTAAAATGGTAAAGAATATTCCTTACTGCACCAGAGGCAACTAGAAAAAATTCTTTGGGGGGGCAAAAAAAAAAGCATGTGAGGATAGCAGAACATCCTTTCCCAATATTTTCACTCTTATGCATTTAGCTACATATTGGTATAGTTGAGATTAAGTCACTTTGGATGCTGGTTTTGTGGCTGTGTTAAGTTTGTAAAAATCTGTCAAGCTTACTTACGATATGATCATTTTACTGCAAGTAAATTACATTCAAGTAAAATTTTAAATGTAAAAAAAAGTGAGTCATTATTAAAGTAGAGGGCATATTAAACATTTTACTTCATTACAATGTGCTGAAATTTTCTGATTATATGTTTCTCTAAGTTCACATTAGGGGACATAACTGCTTTTACTCATCTTTGTAAATCGGGTATGCAGAACATAAGGAGACATTCAACAAATGCTTGTAATATTGAACTGAGTCTAGATTTTTAAAAAAAAAACCAGGAAGACAGGGATAATTATTAAACAGAAATCAATTAAAGAGACTTTGGCTTTCTCTCCCAAGTTCCTGTATAAAGAGGAATCAACTAGACATTATATAATATCAAGATTAAGCTTTAACCATATTTCTCATAAATACTGATTCACTGGGCATGAGAAGGAAAGTAAAGGAAATGAGACAGGAATAACAACAAGCACCCACATGTGCAGACCTACTCTCCCCGTAACCCTTCTTGATTATATGAGCCATTAAAATCCTTCATCTCACTCTATGCTCCCCCTCAACAAACATTTTTTTGTCTTAATTATTTCAGCAGAATTTCTGTTAACTGCAACCAGAAGAGTTTTGTCTAATCTTGTCTTCTCAGATTAACTGAAAATTCTGAGTTGCCAAAGTCACCACAATGTAACTCTGCTTCATTCTGGAGGTAGTAAACACACACAAATAAGCTCAAGTGTGTGTACACACATATACACACATATGACACTTCAGTAGGCTGTAAGTACCTGGAATGAAAACGAGAAAGACCTTTGCTAATCATGTCATTAGTTTATGGCCATTTCTAGGACTCCCTAGCCAACACTAAGAGCTAAAAGCTCATTCTATTCCAATTTGCATTATTCTGAAATAAATTTGTAGAAGTCATATTCCACGAAGGACCTCAGAAAACAGAGAGTCCAATTCCACCACCCTTTACTCTAAAGATGAAGAGACAGAGGTGAAGTAGCTTTTCAAAGGCTACCCAGCAAGTGTATCTGGCATATATTAAGAAACTGAAATATCAATAGGCACTAATATAAAGTAAACTGACAGTTCTATATATTTAAAGATATTTGGATTAGGGGAAAATACTACTCAGCTGGGAAAAGAAAGGTATCAGCACAAAAACAACTAAAAGAGCTGACGAGTTGTGCTAACTGGAGAGGAAAACCTGCTTTCTCTGGAAAAGTCAGAACCATTACAATTCCACCAAGACCTAAGGCAGTCTGGAAAAGAAGTAACTGATAAAAAGGGATGGGGGATCGGGGAAACAGTGATAGACTCATATTTGCAAAACATAACAAGACAAAACAAAGTAAACTCTTTACAATCCTTCCTTGCCTTCTTTTAGCAAATGAGATAATCTAAAATCTTCTGGTATTAGGAGAGAGAATACTGGTATTTGCTGTTTAAACAAGCAGAAAGTAATACCATAATATAAAATATCATAAAAATATTTGTAACAAGTATCAGTATTAAAAAGAATATATACTATATTTAATTTTGAAAAAAGCTGCTTATATGAAACTTCATAAAATACTGAAAATTCTTAATGCAGAAAACATACAGAATATACACGCAAATTCTAGGCGTTTATAATCTATACCTGGCTACTGTATTTGTGACAACAAAAGTAACACGTTTTAAAAAGTAAATAAATACTAATTGAATGCTTCCATGCTTTTGCCTTTTTAAAACTTTATTCCCATGAAATCTGGGATTTGATATTTACAATTCCCAAATACCAGGATTTTTTTCTTAAAGCAAGTGAATTTTTTTTTACAGTTTTTTATTGAGCTATAGTCATTTTACAATGTTGTGTCTAATTCCAGTGTGGAGCACAAAAGCAAGTGAATTTTTTAAGTACAAAAAGTATTTTGGAAAAACTATAGAAAAAGGAAACTGCAACTCTGAGCAAATCACAATGAGGCTGAAAAACACTATAAAGATTTCGGGAGCAAAACATTTACAATTTGTTTTTTCAGACTTGTCACAACCTGGAGGCGTATGTATGCACTGTTCGCCAAAAGGGAAAACAGCTGACACCCGTCTAAAGCCCAGCCCGCGGCGTCCGTGCGGCGGACCTGGATGGGATGATGCGAATACCGCGGAACGAGACAGCTCCTGGGGCTTCCCGGGGCTTCTGAGAGTCACGTCTACACTGCACTGGGCTCTGGTAAGGGTGCAAGAGCACTACGACTTTAGAACATGTACACACCTTGACTATAAAATACTTTCGCCCCCGCCACTTGCTCACCTCAGAGGGCGTGATGCGGCCGCCACGCCGCCGCTGACTGAGGCCCGGCCTGGACGCCGGGGCTGGAGGAGCTGCCGGGG